CCCAGGGGATATCTGGCAATGTTTGGAGTCATTTTGGGTTGTCATAACTGGGTGGGGAGTTCTGCTGGCATCTGATGGGTGGAGGTCAGTGATATTGCTGAACATCCTAACAATGCACAGGACAGCCCCGCACCACAAAGAATGATCTGGCCTCAAATGTCCATAGTGCCGAGGTGGAGAAACCTGTGCCATGTACTACTATTCTCCCCATTTTATAGATAAGAAACAGGCTCACTGAAGATCACTGAGAGTCTAGGTGGCAAAGTCAGGATTTGAACCCAGACACATATGGTTCTATGTATAATATGACCACGGTGCTGTCACTTCCCTGCTTAGGTACCATGGATAGTACCACACTACCTACACAGTAAAGCCAAATGCCTCCAGCTGGCCGCAGGTCCTTTACAGACGTCTCCTCACCATCCTTCTGACCAGTGGGTAGGCCAAAATGTTTGTCGAATCAGCCCTAGCTTCCACTTCTCTACCTGAGCTCACACTATTCCTTCCATCCATTCATATGTGACCAAACTTCAATGTCTCCTCCCTCTGAAATTCTCCCCTGCTCCTCTAAACCTAGGTCAGCAGAACTTCACCTGCATCTACCAGTCTTGTGGAATCATTGCTGTGTGTGTATTTACTTACTCGCATAATAATCAGCATGTCTCCTATGTGCCAGACACCGCCTATGCCCTGACCACATTTTCTCATGTAATCTCACACTGATCCTGCAGGTGGGCCTGATAAACCTTCTTTTATAAATGAGGAAGTCAGGGATCAGATGAGGTAAGTGACTTAGCCCAAATCACAGCACCAAGAAGCACAGAGTGTGGATGGGAACCCATCTCTGCTCATGAAGCCCACTGGCCTTACTTGCTAATGGTCAGTAAGCAGGTGTGATCCAGCCTCTGCTCTCAGTGCCTGCCTCTAGTGCTTGAAAGACGCTAAATTGGGAAGGACACAGGCTTTCCAGCAGGTCCTTCCTTCCAGGGTAGAAGTCCTAGGGGGATGTTTCCTGAGTGCCAGCCATTCATCAGTCAAGGAGCTGGGTAACTGACATAATCAAAATCATTTAATTCTCAAAGCAATCCTATTGGGTAGATATAATTACTAATTTCTTCTTGTTAACACAAAAGGATTCTGAATATTCGGTCTGTTTAAAAGAGTTGCTTAGGATCCCAGATGGGGTACCTGGTTAGAGCCAGGGTTTGAACCTGTGAGATTCCCTTAAGATTATTTTTCTCTATTATAAGGAAGCAGCTTTTGACTGAGTTAAGGGGAAAAAAATCTCTAGTCATTAGAGCTGTCCAAGAGTGAAAAAGATTCTTTCTGGCGGTACGGCGCCCCCTGGATCCTGAGGATAATCAATGAACAGATGGGTGCTCACCTGTCGGAGAGACTGAGGTTTGTTGGGACAATGGCTGGCTAAAGATCTGTCCATCTCTTCTCTGTGGATATGGTCAGGGGAAGGGAGATCTCCTCATATCTCTTTCCATAGTGTTCTCTGGAGAGGCAGTAGTCAGAATGCTAGGGTGACTAGGGCACCAAAAGGAATTCTGACGAGTGGCACCTACTTGGGCCCTTTTCTTTCACTCAGCAGGCCTGCCAGGGTAAGAGCTAAGATTCTAGTTTGGCTCAGAGAGAAGTTGGATCCTACTTATGTCTCCTGTCCAGCCTACAAGCTCCAACCAAAAGCACAGGGTTCTCTGCATCAGTGATTCCCAGCGTTTTTGGCACCAGGGACTGGTTTTGTGGAAGACAGTTTTTCCACGGACTAGGGTTGGGGGGATGGTTTCAGGATGATCCAAGTGCATAACATTTATTGTATGCTTTATTTCTATTATTATTATATTGTAATATATAATGAAATAATGATACAACTCAACATAATGTAGAATCAGTGGGAGCCCTGAGCTTGTTTTCCTACAACTAGGCAGTCGCACCTGGGGGTGATGGGAGACAGTGACAGATCATCAGGCATTAGATTCTCATAAGGAGCACACACCCTAGATCTCTCGCAGGTGCAGTTCACAAGAGAGTTTGTGCTCCTATGAGAGTCTAATGCCACCGCTGACCAGACAGGAGGTGGAGCTCAGGTGGTGATGTGAGTGATGGGGAGTGGCTCTAAATACAGATGAAGCTTCTCTGGCTCACCTGCTGTTCACCTTCACTCCCTGCTTTGCTGTGCGGCCAGTTCCTAATAGGTCACAGACCGGGGTTGGAGAACCCTGCTCTGCACCGTGGTCTCAAACCTGCCAGTGGGACTTGGCCCCTCTGCTGTCCATAAAGAGTGCTTGGCTCCTTGTGAGGAGAAACAGCTGTTTTCCTGGATCCCCGGCCAACAAGCCATAGTACCAGTTTTCCACCCATTATTTTCAATGCGTTCCAACTTGAAGATCCTAGAACAATATTGGGAATTCCCACTATGACCTTTTTATTTGAGACAGAGTCTTGCTCTGTCACACCCAGGCTGGAGTGCAGTGGTGTGATCTTGGCTCACTGCAACCTCCACCTCCCGGGTTCAAGCGATTCTCCTGCCTCAGCCTCCCAAATAGCTGCAATTACAGGCACTCGCCACCATGCCAGGCTAATTTTTTTTGTATTTTTAATAGAGGCGGGGTTTCACCATCTTGACAAGACTAGTCTCGAACTCTGACCTCAGGTGATTGCCCTCCTCGGCCTCCCAAAGTGCTGGGATTACAGATGTGAGCCATCGCACCTGGCCTCCACTGTGACTTTCTTTCCTCTTTTGGACGTAAGGAGCTTCCTGGATCCTACCCAAGGATATTGTCACTGACATGACTGAGGAATTGCAAGAGTTGGGGGTAACTCCTAAATTTACATCGTCCATGGATAAATACGAGTGTTTTTCAGCACAGCTTTTTGACTAAATCAACTGTTTCCAGTATGAAAAACAGAGAATAAATTATTTGCATAAACCTGTTGTCTTTTGGGTCAAAGAAGAAGCCGGTCAGGAATATCTGGGAGACAGATTTACAGTAGTACATAACAGGTGGGGTTCTTTCATTCCATTACTTTGTCGCCATGCCAAAGGCCTGGATCCCCCATCATTTGCTTCTTCCTCTTCCAAGAAGCATCATCCTTGAAAAGAGCATCTGGATCTTTAAGCAGAAAACTCAGAAGAATTAAAAAATAAAATAGTTTATTTGTGAATCAGCAGGGACCACTCCATCCTTGGGGCTTTTTGCCAAGCTATCATCTTTGATTGCACAGACCCATGAGGAATGACTGCGAATATCCTTTCTGTTGGCAGGAGGCCAGTCACGTTTAGGGCAACTGCTCGCCAAGGTCATTGCTGTGATTGATTACATGAGATTAACAGCCTCTAGCGGATGCCTGTGTGCTCTGGTTCCACCCTCATATTCCTCCTCTGAGCATATATATCAAAGGAAACAGCTGACAAGAAATGAACCAAGCAGGAACACCACACAGGCACCCGTCTTACACAGCCCCGCAGCAGCTCACAGGTAAACCTGTGGGACATTAATTCTTTTCATTCAGTGAACAAGCTCATATTTTCTTTGCATTCTAAGAATGCAATGTATAGTAATTATGTTTTTGAGGAATTTAGGGGAAATAATTGAGATCAAGAGCAGAAAATTGTTGCTGGACTACGGGGTGATAAATAATACTTACTTGCACTCGCAGTGTTCATGGTGTACAAACTGCTTTCATCACTCATTCATTCATTCAACAAACATTCATTCAACACCCATTATAACCATGCAATGGGACACCCACAATGAATAAGACACCACCATGCCCTCAAGGAAGGAACCTTCTATGTGCATGAATATGCATGTATGCAAATGACTGAAACAACATTAAAACTGTAGTTGGTGGGAGAATCTCGCTCTTTGCCTCTGTCAGCTCTGTGCTGGGCACTGGTGCTGTGGAGACGAGTCTCAGGCAAACCATGTCTCCCACAGTCCAGGAACCCAAGAATCCTAAAACTCCAGCTCCGCTAAATAGACAGAAAGGATATTATGATTCCCATTGTACCAATGAGGAAACCATGGTCCTGAGACATGGTGAAGTGACATCCTTTTCAAATGATACTTGTGCAAACAAATAACACCTCAAAATTAATTTTAGTCAAAATACTTTCTTTTTTTGAGACAGGGCCTCATTCTGTCACCAAGGCTAGAGTGCAGTGGTGCCATCATGGCTCATTCACTGCAGCCTTGACCTCCCAGGCTCAGGTGATCCTCCTGCCTCAGCCTCCCAAGTAGCTGAGACTACAGGCGAGTGCCACCATGCTCGGTTATTTTTTTTTAAATTATTATTATTTGTAGAGATGGAATCTCCCTATGTTTGCTGGGCTGGTCTCAAATTCCTGGGCTCAAGCAATCCTCCCACCTCAGCCTCCCAAAGTGCTGGGATTACAGTGCTGAGCCACTGCGTCCAGCCTAGACATAATACTTTCTGCTCAAATAAAAGTATGTGTTATTACCGCCGCCAAATAGTCCCATTAATCATCTTCAGCTAGTAAATTTAAATGCAATAAAATACAAATACATACTGAATGTCCCATTTTTATAGGACACTGAATTACATATTCAGGGAAGATGTAAAACAAACAAAGAGAAAAAAGAAGCATAGTCTTCACCCTTCAAGATTTTCCAATCAGCTAGAAAATCAGACATGGAGACCTTGTGTTGTGGGTTCAAAGAGGACAGCGTTTGAAACGACGAGGCCAAGGCGCTTTGATGTTTGACCTGTCACTGATCCGCTGTGGGCCTTTGTGTAAGACCCTCCCCCTCTGGATGCCTCTTTTCCATCTGTACAATGAGGGGGTTGGACCAGAAGCTCAAGGCGTTCATAGGCGGCACACAGGCATCAGGACTGAAACCTGGGGGGCAGTGACTCTTCCACCAGTTCTCCTTCCTGCACCGCGTGCCCTGTCAATTCCACCTGCCCAGGAACAACTTGAGCCCCCACTGCATAGCCCCTGGTGTGCACCGCACAGGCGCCTGTCTTACCCAGCCCCGCAGCAGCTCATAGGCTGTGACGCCCAGGGACCACCAGTCGACAGGGTACGAGTATCCGGGGCCTCCGTCCATGTACACCTGGAATACTTCTGGGGCTGTCAACGAGAGGACAAACAGAACATCATTGTGTATCCCCAGTTTATGGCCACCACCCCTTAGAGAGGGGACAAAGAGAGAAATCGAGCTCTTCTTTTTTTTTTTTGGAGACAGTTTTACTCTGCCGCCCAGGCTGGAATGCAGTGGCGCGATCTCAGCTCACTGCAACCTCTACCTCCCGAGTTCAAGTGATTCTCCTTCCTCAGCCTCCCGAGTAGCTGAGATTACGGGCACCTGCCACCACGCCTGGCTAATTTTGAGATTTTTAGTAGGGATGAGGTTTCACCACGTTGGCCAGGCTGGTCTCGAACTCTTGACCTCAGGTGATCCGCCCACCTTAGCCTCCCAAAGTGCTGGGATTACAGGCGTGAGTCACTGCATCCGGCCAGAAATCTAGCTTTTTTGGACAGTAAAACCTGTACTTTTTTCACTATGCCACATGGTTTACACCCTCAGTAAGCCATGAGCTGCCTGAGAACAAGTTACAGGCATCACCAGAGGCTCTGGAGTGACACTGCTGGGTGGAACGCAGATGGGACGCCCTGAGGGGGCACGGAAGGGCTTGGTGAAAGTGAAGACATGTCCCTGGAGGGGGTGGACTGGTGGAGCATATTCACTGGGAGAACTGGTGGGGTAAACCCAGAGTGAAGAAGAGGAACAGAGCCCCCAAGGGGCTGAGAACCTTGATAAATGAACACTTAGAGCTCTCTGTGCCTGGGACCTATCTCAGGGACAACTCTGTTTTAGCATAGGTGGCATCTAACATGAAATACCCACAATGGGTAAATCCGCAAGACACAAAGCGGATTGGAGGTTGCTAGGGGCCGTGGGTGGTGAGGGGAAGGTGGGAGCACCTGTTTCATGGGTACCGCTTTTCCTTTGGGGGTGAAAACAAATGGGTTGGAACAAGAAAGAGGTGGTGGTCATATAACACTGTGAATGTACTAAATGCTACTGAGTTTTTCACTTTAAAATAGCTAATTTTATCTTATGTGAATTTCACCTCAATAGAAAAAATACAGTGAAGGCGATGGAGGCCCAAGAGTGGTGGACCCTTATTCTTCAGGGTACTGCATTTGTCCTGGGGTCCTTGTCCCTGATCACTCTCCAAGGGGCTGAGTGGTGGGTTGATCTCAGTGCCTCACCCCCACCTCACTGGGCCAGGAGTGCATTGTAGGGTCTAATTGTCCATGTGGGCTTCCGGGAACATTTTGTGAACTGTTGATTATTTCTAGTAAATTAATTTGCAGACATAATTCCATTTTACAGTTGTCAGAGCAGCCGAAATCTGCCCCGGGAGCCACAACCTGTTGTGATTAAAGCTGTCTCCACTCAGTTTCTAGATGGGCATTCACTGGGCATGGAAAGAAGATCCAGGATGAGTTGACCTGGGGGCGCTGGCTGGGCAGCTTCACACTTGAATCTGACCAGCAGCCACTTTCTAGCTGCCCCCTGGTGATATTCTCCATTTGGTTCACATTTTCTAAGTGCACTTTCACCCATGGGCTCTCCTTTTCTCTTCACAACAGCCTCTGGGGACATGTTTAAGGGGAGGTTCAGAGAGGCCCAGCAGTATGAAGAGGTCACACGGTCAGGAAATGCGAAGCTGAGATGCACACGTTACAGGGCTGCTGAATTCCTGTTCGAAGTAAGACTCGCCTCAACATTTCGTTCGGTACAAACTACATACTTAGTGCCACATGGTAGAATGGTGCCACATGGTAGAATGGTGCAACTGGGAATTCGAGAACATGCCCCTTAGATTATTTGCCCCTTAAAAAGGAGCTGACATCGTGCCCTGGGAAACAGGAAGACTGCCGGTGCTGCTGGAGTTACTTGTTAGTAATAAGCTACGTACCTTCTCTTTGCCTCAGTTGTGTGGAATGTAGATAATAATAATGGTTTATTCATCGGGCTGTTGTGAGGATTAAGTAGATTTAATAAGATAATCTATACCAAGAGTTCAGCAGGATGCCTGGCCCGTAGTGAGTGCTCCATGAACATCAGGCATTACTAACAGTCGAATCATCACTCCAACCTCCACTTCCTCTGCCATGCCTCCCCATCGTCCATAGTTACCCAAACCAGAAATCTGGGAACCCTCCTAAATGCCATCCTCCTCAGCCTCATGAACGATCAGTCTCCAAATTCTGTGTGTTTTGTATTTTCAGCATCTTTTTGTCTGCCTCTTCCTGTCGGTTATAGATCATCCTGTCTCCAAAGTCAGTGATCACACTTGTTCATTAAGCATTGGATGAGTGAATATTGAATGCTTTCCTAGGACATGCTGGGCACTGTGCTGTGTTATTCTGAATCCCACCTGGATCCTACCGCTGAGCCTGAAGCTGAGCTTGAGCCTACAGGGACTTCCTTCCCTGCACCGTTGTGTGTGCCTGTTCCTGTTCTCAATCCTGAGGGCTCAAGAGAGAAGGAGTCCCGTCATGCTTGTCTGTGTGTTCCCAGGGCCTTGACAGCTGCTGGCCCAGCCCACAAGCTCCAATAGCGCAGGGTGCACCCAGCAGTGCAGAATGGCTGTGTGTGCTGAGATGTTCCCCATCAATCCTTGTCACGCCTGGCAGCCCCAAGTCCGTTTAGAACTCAGGATAGGAGTAGCAGCAGAGTGATCCTGTCCTGGCTGTCATAACCAGTCAAGCGACAAATGTCTGCAGTCCTAGAGAGGGTGACATTTCCTCCCCCAGCCCCCCCCCCACACACTTGGAGCTGATGATAGAACACAACAATATTGATGTCATAATCCCTGTGCCACCAGAATGATGTCACTGGCTGCTCAGAATCCCAGCACTTAGACGCGAGAGAACTACACAGGTTTAGAGCTGGAAGGACAGGTGTGAGCCACATATCTGAACAACAGCAACCGTGATTTACCAGGTGCCATGTTAAGGATTACATGTGTATTACCTCTTTAGTTCTCCCCCAGTCACCCAACAGGATAAACGCTACGATGATCTTCATCTTTCTGATGAGGAGGCAGAGGCATTTGGAGGTGTAGCGGGCCGAATCATTGCCCGCTAAAAGCTATGTTCAAGTCCTAACTCCTGGGACCCGTGAATAGGGCCATATTTGAAAATAAGGTCTTTGTAAATGTAATCAAGTATCTCAAGATAAAATCATCCTGGATTTAGATTGGGCCTTAACTCCAACGACTGATGTCTTTATAAGAGAAAGGAAAGACCTGAGACACAGAGAAGATGGCCATGTGAAGACAAAGGCAGATTGGAGCGATGTGGCCACAAGCCAAGGAAGGGCCTGGAGCTCCTGGAAGCTGAAAGAGGCAGAAGAATCCTCCCGTGGGGTCTTCCGAGGGGCACATGGCCCTGCTGGCCCCTTGATATTGGACTTTCAGCCTCCACAACTGTGGGAAAATGAACTTCCATTGTTTCAGGCCACTCGATAGTAATTTGTTTTGCAGCCACAAGGAATGAATACAAGGGGTAAGGAACTTGCCAAGGTCACCCAGCTAGCATAGCAGAGCTGGGATTAGCACCTCTTGGTTTTCTGACTTCAGGGACCTTTCCCCTGTTCTGGGTAACTGACAGAAGTAATTGAGTTACCCGGGGATTGGTGCCCTGGTACACCCTTCCACCCTCCTTCCTTCCCTCCCAGGGCCTGGCGCTTAGCCCAGTATACAGAAGGCACTTAATAAATGTGTGGACTGGCTCTTTCACCCTGATGCCATAGGGCTTGTCTGGCTCACTGATGCCTGCATCAGAGGTGGAAACAGCTCACAGCATCTCGAGATGTCAGCATCGCAGGGCCGAAGGGTCCTGTGAAACTCATCGTGTTCACACATGTCCTTGTTAGAACCGGACACTGGACCCGAGGAGGAAGAGGGGCTTGCCTCAACCACCCAGTAGTGCCTCTGAAGTCAAGTCTAGAATTCTTGGTCCTGACTCCGAGGTTCAGAAAATTCCCATGACTGTCACAGTGATACTCAGCTGCCAAGTCTGAATGATTCTACCTCCTAATCGCGTGTGTACCCTCCCTTCCTCGCCTTTGCTCACATGCTGCTCATGTTCTGATGCTCGCTTTCCCTTCTAGTACCCTAGGACCAGCATAGCTTCCAAGCTGGTCCTCTGGCCCCTGAGACTCCTCCTATCTGTCCTTCTCACTGCTGACCGGGGAGTCAGTTTTCTGACACGCCACAGATGATGGTATTCCCCGCTAAAAGATCTTCCCATGACGGTGGCTGTTTCATAAACTGTGTTGCTTGCAATGCCACTGGCTCCATGTCCTTCCAGCTCTAAACCTGTGTAGTTCTCTCGCGTCTAAGTGCTGGGATTCTGAGCAGCCAATGACATCATTCTGGTGGCACAGGGATTATGACATCAATATTGTTGTGTTCTATCATCATCCTTGGAGCCTTTCGTGTGCTGATGTGCTTTGGTGATGTTCACAGGGGCCCAACTCAATAGCAGGCATGGCTTGGAAATGTATTTGACTTGATCCTGGAATCTTTCCTAGTTTTAATTTTTGGCGGAACACAAAGTACTAGGGGCTGGGGACCAGTCTGGCCCAGAGGGTAGTTCAAATCCACAGCCCAGCACGGAGGCCCCAAGCTGTCTTGTGCTGCCTCGCTTGCCTATGGCCACCCTGGCTCCATGCTGAGTGCTGTTCCTGGAACACCGTCTCTCTGTCTCTGGTCCTGACACTCTTTCCCAGCTCACAGAAGGTGCAGCCCTAGGGTTACATCCTCCAGGAGCCTACCATGTGCCAGACAAGGATCTTCACAGGTACACTGGACTCCTCAGAATAAGTCTCTGCTATTATCACTTCCTTGCCATCTCCCTCCTACCCAGGCCAGATAGGGGCTTCCTCATTTCCCCCATGCTCTTCATCTCCTCATGCATTTTTGCTTATTTGTCTCCCTTTTCTCTTGACTGCAAGCTCCTTGAGGGCAGAGACTCTCTTGTTCTCTCTGGTGCCTCATCCCTTGCCTGGTACCAAGAAGATACAAAGGAAAAATCTGTTGACTGACTAA